TCATTGAAACTTAGAAATATCGAATACTTGTGCGCCCAAATTAAGATTATGCCATTTCAAATACTTTATGCAGTAGTTATGTCTATTTGAAATTAATATTTAAATCGTATAGTAATATAGCATATAAATGAAATATATTTGTGTATCAGTGTATAAAATAAAGCATTTTAGCCTTACTGACTGCCATAGTTAAAATGCTATCATCCCACAAGATCTTTATGACAACATTGCTAAATGGCCTCCTTGGTCTAATTTTTACTGTTCCACTTTCCATGATGGCAAAAGTTAAAAATTTTCAACTTTGTATTCCATTGGCTTCAACAGCAAAAGTGATGTCACTTTGCCATTCTGTCAACAGTTTCTATCATCCGTTTCCACATGTGAGTACTAGGCTTTAGACTTCAAAACCATGCAATGACTAACAACAGGATATAAAGTTGCTATACATCAGTCAGTTTCCTAATGGAGAGTTTTGACTTTTCTAGAGAATAACCTATCAATTGCAGTTAGCCTTCTGTATCTGTGGGTTCTGTATTTTTAAATTTAAATCAACTACAAATAATAAAAACTTTCAGAAAGTTTCAAAAAGTTCAAATTTGTTTGTATTTTAAATATTCTGTTTTATTCTATGTATTTTTCTCCTTCAAGTCATTAAACAAAAGCAATCTGTAAGCATCAGAAGAAAGAAAAGTTTACATTATTGCCAACATGTCCTATATAGTTAGTACTGAATGCACTGACTATGTATGTACTGAATACGTAGACTTTTTCTCCTAAAACATATTCCTATTCCTGAAACCCTACTCCTTAAACGAGTGATGCCCAAACTTTTTGATTGACAGGCTAAATTTCACACAAATTATACATAATCCAAATATTTTATATATTCTAAATATACAAGAAATAGGCCTATTTCCATCATTTATAAATGATGTGCCAAATATGTTCAAATAGTTGGATTAATATGTGCTGCAAGTTGGGCACCAACGATTTAAACAGCAGAGGTACAGAATATGTCTGAACACAAACAAGTCATGAGGAAATTAAAGTGTTCCTGGAGAAATTTGTGGTAGAAATATACTATTACAGCAATAGTTCAAAACATTACAATAAAATGAAGTAAAGTTTCAATGAAGCCTATAGACATTCACCAGGAATACTCACCAAAATGCAGGGAAACCATGTGCTTTATGAAACATTGTTTTCTTTGTTTCTGATCATTTCAGTGACTTGTTGCATCACTGCCTGCTTATATGGTTATGCACTTTCAGTAAGGATATGTCAATTGTCCTTACCATAATTTTAATTTTTTGTAAAAATCAAAACTATGGATGGTTTGGATATAGATAACAGAGTTTTACAAAGAACCAAAAAAGAAAATTCATTTTTATTTCAAAACTCTTTTCAAGACTTTAACTAGTGAAATTTCATATTGACTTCAGTAAAAAATTTCACTCATTCCCTATACAAAAAAAATTTCCAAATTAGTAAACTGTGTTTAAAAACTTTCTGAACTGTCTCAATAAATAGCTAAATAGAAATTTTATCATCATTTTATAAACAATGTTCTAAATGTTCTAACATGGAATTCTAGCAAGCGTCAAATTTATTAAAATTCAAAAGATGGAATAATCAGGCTATATGGGACCATGTATGTCACATAAGACCAGGGTCTGTATTAGGTCTTCATCTCTCGTCTCTGAGAGACGGTGTCTACGTCACAAGCCAGTCACCGATTGGATAATCACTTGTTTACATCTCAAGAGATCATCGCGTCTCTCCAAATGCAATTCTGGACAATTTTTTCTCTCAAAGATTCTCGTCTCCCAGAGACAAGTGGATAGTAGTCTTTTGACCAGTCTTTCATCTGTAGCCTTGGTTTCATTAAATCCAATATGGATGACTGGACACAGCTTGCCTTATACAACCATATTAGGAGCATTCTCTATCTCAGAAAAGAATATTTTGAGATAGATAACACATGATTTTTAAGCAGCTATACGGGAACACCACTGAGTCCATTTTTTTTAATGATCCTGCATCAATTTCTGAACTACAGAATATGCTGTTAACCTTATCCGTTTCTAGGTATTTTTAGAGATATTACTGTTCTAATTTCTCCCTAAGTACATATGCTTTTCTAATTTAGATTAATAAAATATTTTTGTTAAGAGAATGTTACCCGAGACATTTTGACATTATGATATTTAAAACATTACAAAACAAAAAGCATATTTAGCAAAATTATGTGCTTTATTTGAACAAGTGCTTTCCTTACCACGTGATCTATGATTTCATACTATGCATTTTCAAAAATTTTACAATTTTATTGGTTAAAATTCTATACTGTGTTGCATGCACAGATAACACGAACATGTATAATCAACCTAACAGAATCAACAACAAAGACGAGATCACTATGAATGACCAGAATCACTATTCATCTCTCATTTTGACGTCATTTGTCTCCGTAAGAAGAGATGAGAGATAAATCCTGGGGCTGTATTTTGGTCACTTAATGTTTAAAATAGCTTCTATACTTATTTATAGAGTATCAGTCTTGTTGAATTTTCTAAATTTTTAAACCCAAAATTATAACTGGATTTTGATCCCATACTAAATTCAATTTATAGGAAGACTGCCTTGTGTCTACATGCATGCATAGGCTACCAAAGAAACTGCACATAGTATAAATTATTACATGACAACAAAAACCATAACATCAAAAAACTCCAGAAATATATTTTATTCCTATTATAAACAAAAGATTTAACCATATATTAATATATACAGTTGTCCCTGTATATGTTAGACCCATGTTAATTGTTAGACATCCTAGTATATGTTAGACATCTTTGTCCAGTAGACTAAAAGAACAATAAATTGGAAATCTATCATAACAAAACAAACACCACACAGGCCATGTTTGCCACAAAGTCCAAGGTAATTGCAAATCTGGATGAAGCCAAATTACTGACACAAATCAATAAGAATCCACCTAGAAAATTTAGAAATACTAGAGATTTATAAAGGTTTGTTAGAGGATATTTGCATAAACCACAAAAACTATGATTCCTTATTTTTGGCATGAAAATTGTCTTTGGAGAAGCCACAAAAGAAAATTCAGCAAGACACCTATAATCTGTAAGTAGATATGAAAGATATTTTATTGACTTCCAACTTTCTTTTTGCCTCTACTATGCCTTAGTTCTATATATTCTGCTTCTTGAATTCTGAATATCATTATGAGTAAGTTTCCCATTGATAAAAGAAAAAAAAACAAAATTGCAATCTCCTGAAATTGACAGGTATCCTTCAAAATTAACAAAAGGTTCTCTGGATGAAAAACTATTAACAGTTTGAAGAATGTATTTGCAAATGGCCAAAATTATCTGAAAGGAATAGAAAGGAAATCTAATCTGCATCAAGTCACTCATAAACAAATCAGTTCTAATAGGAGAGGGAATTCCAAGAGAAGGATCAGAAGAAGCAGAAAGAGAAGCGAAGAAAGAAATAAAAACAAAGTATGGAAGATATTTTAATCATCATATTTGGAGCACTTTTTTAAATTTAGCATTATGTGAGTTAAATATAGCATTAAGTTAGTTTTTGTTTTTAAGATTTGTTTTTACTTAATATCCTTAAATTATAACACAATTCAATCAGAATATTTCAAAACAAAATTATCAAAATGACAATGTATTAGCAAAAATAAATCATTAACTTATTTTAAGAAAAAACTGTCAACTGTTAAATACTAAAAACCTCTAATACTTATAGGCTGAAATAAATTGAATTCTGACTATAAAATATTTACATTGAACAAACATTATCTACAAAATATCTTTAGTATTGTCTACTTTACTGAATTTTTTAAAATTCTGTAAATTTTAAAAATTTATTTGTCCTGCAATTTTTATCAAATATCTATCTTCTTTAATTATATTTCTAACATGTTACATTTAACTGAGTTATCCATATATACAGTGAAAAATAAATTTTTCTTAGATTATTAGTAATGTATGAAACTGTAATTTACAAAATATTTTTAAAACATTTCTAAGAAAAATAAAAGCACCAATAAAATTAATTAAAACCAGAAATTTCTAAAAAGAGTTGTTAACAAATTTATAAGTTTGAAGTAAAACAAATAACTTCATGATACTGTAAGATTATTAACTGTTAAACTACAATATAGAGAAAAATGTAATAAATGTATAATATACCTGGAAAATAACCCTACAAAATTTGAGTTCTCTTTAACAATATTCAAAGATCTCCTAATTTTTAAAAATTAAATGTTCTGTTTGTATATAATTTTGTTTTATTAAACATTTACACAAAAAAGATCTATCGATTAGATTCTTTTACAATCTAAGGTGCCTTCTGATTTTTGGGCTGCAATTTGAAATAACTGTAGACCTATAAATACTCACGNGAAACAATTATATTCAAAAATTTGACAAAATTCAAAATGATTGCCTTATATTATGAATTATTTGATACAAAGTTTCAAATCGATTTGTTTAAAAGAACTTTCAAAATTAAACTAAATTAATTTAAATATATTTGGCAGATTCTATCAAAATTCGTATTATTAAATCAAATAATGTGTAATAATTTCTCACGAAACAGTAGATTAGCAAATAAATTCAAGCCAGAGATTATCTCTTCCTCATTTTCCCGCAAAACCCAACGACATTTCCACCAGTTTATTAACTATTCGCAATTTAATAACCGCAATATTAGTGTTTACTATTAATGAATAATATAATAGGATTAAAATGAAATAGTTTTTAAAATTTTCTAAGCATAGATTAAACGTCAAAGTCGAATATAAACAAGTCCACGTGTGCGCCATAGAGGAAACGCTGTTGGAGCAAAAAACCTCCCAGCATCACGTGACCAGCTCGGCCTTCCGTAGAAAGGCGCTTGTGCCAACCTGGCAACAAGATGACGCATTCCCGACATCGATTATAATATCCATCGCATATACTCACCATAGGGTACGGCGAAACACCCATCTTCACCGCGATCGACGCAGTTGTCCAATTTACTGTCGTAAGAAGTCAAAGACAGTACTATGTGATCATCATTATCTAGTCTAGGACGCTTCAATCTTGGCGATGCACAAGATGTCTGAACTGCTTCCGCCATCTTGACGTCGAACCAGAACACTGTGCGCATCGAATTTTGCGCATAGCGTCAGAACATACATCCGGGTCACTCTGCCTAATGACGTCATGCTGGACGATTTCTATAAAGCAAAAATACGGAATTTCCATCAAATTTATATTTTTTTTTTTACTTGTTCGTCGCTATTATTTTCGAAATAAAATTTAAATATTATTTCGTGCGATAATTTTTTAAAATATTTATTTATTTTTCGCGTCTATTAAAAAATTATTTCCAAAAATATCAAATTTTCGATAAAATTACGATGATAAAACCAAATTTTTAAAATTTAAATGATCATCTTTTACACAAAATATACAATTTTAATAATAAAAAGCGATAAAATTGCCGTAAAATATGACAAAAATATATCATTCGTCATCCAAGACAAGAGAGAGACAAAACATTATTCTGTTTAAAAAAAACTTAAGCTATTAAAAAATTTGATCAATTTCTTTTTTAAATATAATCATCTGTTTGTTAGAAACTGTTGCTCAAAATATTACTTTTCTCTTTTAAGGCAGAAATAACGCGCGCCGAATAGGCCTACATGAAATTTGTCTTCAGACTTATTCTACTTAAACACTAGCTTCAATTTGCACAGTTAATATTACACTTCATAAGAATAAAAAAGTTACATTTCTTTATATCTAAACAGATTTAAAAATATCCTGATTTGTACCATAAATCTACAATTTATAAGACTGTTTGGAATCTAGCTTTGGGACATAATATATATTCCAGAATAATTTTTATCATTATAANAATTTATAAGACTGTTGGAATCTCGCTTTGGGACATAATATATATTCCAGAATAATTTTTATCATTATAAATTTTCTTATATTTGTTAAACCATTCACAGTAATTGTTGTTATTACTTGAAATAAATTTGAGAATTTCTTTTCTTGCCATATATTATGCTTCATTACTAACAGAATATTATGTTTTTAAAATTTTAATTATAAAGTCAGATATTTCTGAATAGTGAAAAATAATTGACTTAAATTTTTATCATATAAAAATATTTTATTTTCTACAGAATTAAAAAAGAATTTAACTAAATATATAAAAATTACAAAAGTACAAATACTATCAAATAAAACTAATATAGAATTACATATTTTGATGATTAAATAAAATTTTTTCTATAATTTTTTGTTTTAAGAATAATGCTTAAAACTATTTCTTAATTCCCATTAACATTTCAATTTACACATGCTTAAAATGTATCATTCTTAAGCATGCATAAATTAGATTGTTGTCTTTTTCTTCCATAACATTTATTTGCTTTATGAATGAAAAATAAAATGTTTAAAGCATACATTCATAAAACAAGAAATAATATGGAATCAAGCATACCATTCTAATTTATAGAAAACTATAATATTAGAAAAAATACTAAACTTTCAATTTAAAAGATTTATTAAAAGAACTATTATTTTTATTTAGACTAAAAATTATAAATATTGTTATTTCTATAAAACCTAATGTTAACTAAACAAAGAAATAAGTTTTAGAATGAAGGAATTAGTAATAAAGAATCCTTTAAATTTTTTACAAAAAATTTTACTAAAAGAAATTCTTTTTTCTTGATATAATACAGATTAGCTTATAACAATGATTTACAATGAAAAGTTCATGGAATACTACTAGTTTGCTGCTGCACAATAATATTTCACAAACTTTTTGTAAAGATACCACAAAATTTCAAAAAATAATTAAATAATAAAAAGTGAAATGAAATTATTTATTATATATATTTTATATAGAAAAATGCATGTCTTCAATACCAATTCATTTATTCACTTTTCTTATTTATAAGACATAATATACTATATAAAAAACAATTTATATTTTTATGACCTTTATAAGTAAGCTGATTTTTTTTCAACCTCTGATGGTCCATAAAAAAAAAACACAAGTGTAAATAACAAAATGAATTTATTATGAAAAGTTGGGTACAAACATGGTTACTTTTCAACATAATCACTGTGAAGATTGAGGCATTTGTCATATCTGTGGACAAGCTTTCCCATCTCCTCTTCATAGAATGTTGCCATCAATAACTTAAGATGGGCCCTAACATTGTTTTGAAGATTGTCATTAATCTTGAACCTCTGCCCTCCTAAACACGTTTTCTGTTCAGGAAAGAGGTGGAAGTCACTCAGCACTAAATCAGCTGGGTGTTTAAAGGTGGTGAATTCAGACTTCCATCTCTTTCCTGAACTTAAAACGTGGCTAGGACAGCAGAGGTTTGAGACTAATGACAATCTTCAAAACAACATTGTTAAGGCCATCTCAATTCACTGATGGTAACATTTTATGAAGATGGGATGGAAAAGCTTGTCCACAGATATGACAAATGCCTCAATCTTCATGGTGATTATGTTGAAAAGTAACCATGTTCGTACCCAACTTTTCATAATAAATTCATTTTGTTATTTACACTTGTCTTTTTTTTTTTATGGTCCATTGAAGGTTAAAAAAAACTGCCCTCATATATATGCAACACTGACTCACAGCTGTAACATTAACTTAAAGCTTGAGAATCACTATCTTATTAGTAACAAATTTGAATATGAACAAATAAATAAATAATGTTAGTTATTAAAATAAACTTTTTTGTTAATCAAGTCAGTACATATATATTCTATGAGTTTTTAAATTTTTTCAATCTGATTTTATAGTACTGTAATGAAATGCAAAATTTCTTTACTTATTTAATTTACTTACTTATTAATGAAAATTTAGTAATAACAATGCTGTGCACACTTGCTAAAACAAAGGGCATCCAGAAAATAAATACTATTTGCAAAAATTTAAATGATTTGTTTTCAATATATACCTTTTATCTCACATTTTACTTTACATCATTACCTAGTTTTCATCAATCACTTTCGACATTTATCAGTGTTGCACATTTACCATTCCCTCTGCAAAGAAGTGTACTGCCTGTGTGTTAAACAAGCCTGCATGACAACCTTTACAGCATCATTTCTATTGAATCTATTTCTTGCTAGAAAGGTAAAGAAGCATGTGAATGTTTCTAGGTGCAAGATCCAGACTGAATGGTGAATGCTGAAATGTTTATCAATGTTTGCCAGTGCAACTTGCCAGCTTCTTTGCAGAAGTTGGCAAGTTGCACCAGCAGTGTAGAGCTGAACATTGTCATGTGGCAGAATGACTAGATGTGATAAGCACTCTTCTTCTGTTCTGAATGGCTCTCTGCAGTTTTCATAGGATTTCACAGTAGGTAAATGCATTTATGATTTGGCTTCTGAGCATGAACTCAATCAGCAGAACATCATGTTGGTCCTAAAAAACATACTGTACATCTCAGAGCTTTCTGATAGACATGGTCTACTTGAACTTTTTCTGTGGTTGCAAATCTGTGTTGCCATTGCATGGATTATAGTTTACTCTCTCTGTGTCGAGTTACACAGAAAACCCAAGTTTCATCTCCTGTCAAGATATGGGCCAAGAACTTCTGATAGTATTTTTAAAAATGTCAGTGCAGCTCCCATGTGTTGTAAGCATTTGGATTAATTTTGGTTTTTAACCCATCTTGTGCAAAGCTTATAATAATGCAAATGCTCCGTTACAAGTTCAAGGAGCAAAGACTGACATTTCTGGAAAGCATACCTGGAACTCAGAAATGTTGAATTTTCTGTTTTCTTGCATTTTTCTGTTCACTTGTTCCAGAAGGTCTGCAGTGATAAATGAAGGGCACTCACTCCATTTGTCAATACGCATGCTAGTTTTTTCTGCTTTAAACATTTTGCACCATTTTCTCACCATTCATCATAACCTTTTCATCATACACATGACAAATCTCTTGATGAATTTCAACTGGACAAAGCTTTTTGCCTTACAGAAACTTGATAACAGCTTGGATTTCACACTTAGCAGGACTATCAATAATCTTGCTCATTTTCAGTACAGTAACAAACATTTGAGCACTGCATCCATCTATCCATCACTCTAGACTTAACCATCATTATTGTGGCAAGTTATCACTGGCACCATCTTCACAACTACTGTGCACAAATTGTACTTACTTTCTGGACACAGCTCATATAAACTAATTATTATATGGGGTTATTTTGATTAGTGAAAAGTTTGGATTAGTGACGTTATATATAAAGATTTATAAAAAAATATTAAAACACACAATACCCAAATATTGTTAAAAAAACAGTAATAGATGCAATATGCTGTCTATTTTTAGTATAGATACAAAAGTTAATTAATGTCATCATTCCAATTCTAATCAAAAACTTTTGGCATATTTAAAACACATATACTATTATGATGATTTAGTCTGTGTGTTCAATTTTATATATATATCCTCATTGATGGATTCTCAAAATGGCTGTTACTAAGACTCTCACACTGTAAACTAGATCAGATCTTGTTCCAATCATTAGATACATTAAATCATTAACTACTTTTTGATGATATGAAAAAATTCATCTCCATGTTTTTTCTTGTTTTTGATGTCTCTGAATCTTAAATATTGAAATGATTTTAATTTCTCCAAAACTGAAACATCAAAACATCTGCTTCAACATCAAACATATGCTTTCTGATTAACATCAAACATCAAAGCATATGCTTTCTGATTAACTTTTACATCACCACCACTGATACTTTAGTGTCTCAGCATTGCACCAGACTTTATATTGCTTCTGTTATGTACTGTTATGTGCAAAATATAAGTGCACAAGACGATTGGTAATCAGTAGTGAGCTATCTAATGGAATAGTGATCATGCACTTAAAATCCTTTTTTCTTGAGGCCAAATTTTATTTCACCTCCTATGAAAGATATGGCACAGTTTAAATTACAAAGTCACAAAACATCTCAAAATTACTAAAAAATGTTTTTTTTGTCTACTTAAAATACTCACAGGAAGCAACCAGATACTGTGAAAAATAGGTAGGATAAACTATGTGAGGCTTCTTCTGTCCAGCTTTATATGTACAAAGCCATGCAAAGAAGCCTGACACAATTTCAATGAGATTTTCAATGCATCAATGATGTATTGAAAACTTACACAAAGAATTTGCAAGGGCTAGT